GAAGTGTGTGTGTGTGTGTGTGTGTGTGTGTGTGTGTGTGTGTGTGTGTGTGTGTGTGTGTGTGTGTGTGTGTGTGTGTGTGTGTGTGTGTGTGTGTGTGTGTGTGTGTAGGAGAGAGAGAGAGATTAGAAGAGGATAGGAAATTAAATAATTGCCTTTATTCTAAATGATAGAACATGACAGCAAAGCATGAGCATGCTGTAATTGTGAAGCAACCACACCTAAACTAGAGGAGTTTCTATTTTATCTGAGATAGAAAGGTTAATGAATGTCTTGTATATAATAGATAATATAACAAACACCAGGCTATCAAAAGCAGGTGATTTCTATATACCTCCCAAGTTGTTTGCTATTGTTTTTTTTTTCAACTAAGTATTTTTTCTTTATTAATATTATTTATTTTTTAAGCAGCCTTTAATTTTTTCAACATCTGAAAGAAATACTTTTTGTGAAGCATACAAAATTAGGTATAATTATATTTTGTATAATATCAAGAAAAAATAAGTGAAACATCAAAACTATTTTAATATTTCTTTTCCTTTCAGCTTCTTGATGGTAAATTTGCCAAAGAAGTGAGTCATGAGACAGATGGTTTGATATTCCAGCCAGCAGGACAAGAAGATGTATGTTCTGCACACACTCTCCCACATAATCCCATAGATGGGCATAATAAATAAGACTGCATTCCCACAGATTTAGATCGATCCATCTGGATCGACCTAACTTCCTGGGGGATCACGCTAAATTGCTGTCAGTCGAGCGTGCACCATAGTTAATTACCCCCTTACAGCTTTTAGTAGGAGGGACAGACATTTAAGCCTGTTAAGCTGACACCAATCTAGTGAGACTCTCCAGGGGGATAGATCGATCTAAATATCTGTGGGAATGGGCTCTAAGACATGGTGGATTATTGATGTGGATTTAGATCACTGTGACATTGCTGACACTATTTTTATATTATGACGAAGAATTTGCTTCAGTGCAATTGAAATTGTGCATATATAATTTTGCATTTTATAAATTGTTATCATCATAACAAATAAAATTTAGACATTAATTTCAACATCAGTATTTATTATTAAGTCATAATTATTTTGTAACAATTTTTATCTGTGACATTTTATTTTTGTGTTCCAGAAATATTTCCCAGGTCGTTGCCAAGACATGCTGAAGTGGAAACCCCCCAGTCTAAACTCTGTGGACTTCAAGCTGAGTATTGTTAAAGAACACAAACCAGGGTCAGTGGTCCTTGATTTATTGTTAGAGCCACCTTTAAAAGTTAAATATTGTTACATACAGTTAGGAATATAAATATAATAGTAAAAAAAATAAGTTAAAAAGCTCTTTAGAGCATGTATTCTTGAGATAATTTACAAATAAATCTGATGTTTATGACTGTTAACTAGAAGTCTCTAGATATCAACAGTCACATCAATACTATGTCATGTAAGATAAGGTCTGGTATTGAGATAGGAATAAGATAACATAATGCTGTCACATCAATACTATGTCATGGGGAATGTGGTTATTTAAGCTGATGACTTAACAGCAACATTTTTGGATATATTATCAACTTAAAGCAGATCTCCCTCACATGAACAGCAATCAACACAAAACTTGGATCAGGGAAAGGTATGCATGTGTGTGTGTGTGTGTGTGTGTGTGTGTGCGCACGTGTGTGTGTGTGTGTGTAGAAGAGAGAGAGAGAGAGATTAGAAGAGGATAGGAAATTAAATAATTGCCTTAATTCTAAATGATAGAACATGACAGCAAAGCCTAGCCATGCTGTAATTGTGAAGCAACCACCTATCTAATCACATCAATAGGAACTACTAGTTGATACCAGGAAATTTTCTTGGAAGGCTTACTTTTGATTTTATCAGTATAGCAGCAAAATAATGCGCATGTTTAATGGAACATCATTATTAGGGGGTCATATTTCCTAAATAAAAAAATGGAATGCCAAACAACAAAAAAAGGGATTTTTACTTTATGTGTTTATTTTCATTGTACCAGTATTAAGATAATTATTTCATTTAAAAGAAATGGAGGAGAAGTTCTATAATTACAAAATGTAAGCATTTATGGATATATTTTAACTTGTAATAAATGAAAGTGACCACTGAATTGCTTCAGTCCCAGTGTTCTGATGACAGTATCTTAGAATGGGTGAGCAGGAAGGAAACAGTTGGGACTGTCCTCTGGAATGGATGCCATTGTTGTTTGCACAAAAAAGTTTTGGTCTGCTTGGGTTTTGGAATATCCCAGTGGCAAAGAATACAGTGCTGGCATCTGCATTTTAGCTGCATTTTAAGTAGAAAAGTGCTCCTAGCTGAAGTCCTGAATCATGGTGGTTTTAAAAGCATTCTATTTTCTCTCTTTTCCAGCTGTCTTCCAGAGTGGAAAGGTTACCTATATGTGGGGAGTCTGAAATCACCTTTCTCTGAAATAAAAATTACCAAAGAATTAAAGCAATATGATGGGAAGATAATAGAATGCCATTTTGACTTGAACACCAACCAGTGGAGGTTTATGAGGGAGAGGACAGATAAGTCATTTCCTAATGCATATACCACAGCTATGGGTGAGTCACAGGAGGTGGTCCCTTCAAGACACACAATTATTGCTGGGCCTTTGTATAGCTAGTTTTTAAAAATTTTGTTTTCCATTTTCCCAGATGTCATTGACTTCATAAAAATATTTTTATTTATTCATTTAAATATCTGTCTACATACTCTGTGACAGGTTATGTAAAGAGGTGGAGATTTTAAAATAAAAATGAATTGCCAACTCTATTTTAAAACTGCAGATCTTACGACTACTTAAAATTATCAAGCTTCACAAAAATAGCCATTTTTTTCTTCTTCTTCAGGAGTTTGTGAAAGTATCAGGAACCCAGTCACAAAGGAAATTCTCTTTGAAACCATCAACAATAAAGCATATAAAAAAGACAATGCATGTCCACGAGAACTGAAAAGAAAACCATCTGGACAAGACTCTGATTTAATGCCTCCTCCCAAACTCCCTGCCATCAGCTAGCACAACGAGAGGTGACCTGGAGACAGGCAGCTGTTTATGGCAGGTAGAAAACCTGGGCATTGCAACATAGCAATGTTCACATCCAAACAGAGTGATGGTCATGGACGACCAGGGACTGGATGGTTCCTTCATAAATATCAGAGAACTTTTAAAGTGGGATTATTTCCAGTTTGGCATATTAATTACAAAGCAGCGCAAGACAAGTGAACAAGATAGTTACCAGATGAGAAAGTGCCAGCATCCAGAAATAGTGTATACTGCATTATGTGAACACAAAGGAGAATGAGTTATTAAAGCTTTTTGAAATCTGTCACTGTCTGTGTTTCTCACGATTAAATAATTGTCCAGGCTAAATCTGTCTGTGATGCTATGAATCACTTCAGCCAGTTTGAGAAGGAAATATTCTAGATTTTAACATTAAGACTGAAAAAGATTTAAAAAACAGTTATGAAGTTAATGATGATAGGTCAAACAAGCTGAAATTGGCCTGTAGTGCAGCATTAGGAATCTGTCCATGAAGCAAGAGGAATAGAAATGACTTCTGTGTCTTCTGCATAAAGACGTACATACAGCATACTTGCTGGGAAAGGAACAATTTTATTATTTAAGCAAAACTGAACGAGTGAAGCTGATATTCCAACTTGGCCAGTATTCTAATGTTATAAATTGCTCCAGAAATGTGGAGGATAACAAGTCCTGGTTTCCATTTCACTGTATGACAGAAGAATGTCATTCTCTTGGGCCTAGAAATGAAGATTTGGTTATTTGCAGTCTGTGAAGTTGAATCAGTAGGGTCAAAATCTCTGATAGAAATATTGAATTGAAAAGTAAATTAACTTTTCTTACTTGAATTGTATCTTAGCACTATGAATCATTCATGCAAGTTTGAGAAAAATCAGTTTTCCTGGAATGGTGTTAATGATGACAGTGCACAAAATGGTCTGTAGCAGTGTTAACATAAAGTGATTTCCTGTAATGCATATAAAGCACTTCTACTAGTTTTATATAAAAATTAAGTTAACTTGCCAAGTCATAATTCAAACTATCTCACATTCTGTCGAAAATGGGCTTCAAAACTGCAACTTCAAATTTCTTGTCGGAAATTACCCATTTCCCTTCCCTCAGTTCAAAAGTCACTAATGACACTACTGTGCATGATTTACATAAGCATCACTCTCACTCTGAAGTATGGAGGTAACTGTGTGCGCTATAGCATACTTATTTAAATGAGACTGCCAAGAGATATACATATCAAACACTAAGAAGACAGAAAACATACGTTCAAATATCGCTTTTTATGAAATGTGAAAGGATGCCCTTTTATACTATTTCAAACTATATGGTGGCAATCAGTCCAGTTTTGTTGCAAAATTGAGATTTCAAATACAGAGTAAAATGATTTTTATATCTTTTAGGGTATTGTAAGCCTTTATTATCATCCAGGTACCAAAAAAGAGGTTTTTCCTGCATCTAATTATTCAAAAATGCATCTTTGTGCGGATTTAAAACAATAAAATATCTCCTCAAAAATATAAAATATTTGCATTTATTTTTTATCCTTGTAATGTATATGCATAGGCATCTCAAAACGTTACATCATCTATTTAACACCTTCCAATTTTGAGGTGAAATAGCAATCGGTATGGAGCATAACTTCATCCTTGAACAAGATTGACACATTTCATAATGTTTATGAAAATGGAGGAGTCTTCATCCTTCAAATAAAGGCATGTCATGTTTAAAACATTTATTTCAATATGAAATATCACAATTTTAATTTTGTCTCATTGCAAACCATTAAGTATAATTTACACATGATATGTATGGAAAGTTTTAATCAGTAATGAACTGATGAACGCGAGCTATGAATACTCTAGGTCCTGCCAGGGTTCAGGTCAGTCTCTGGACACTGGTTTGTGTCATAACATAGCAGTCTTTCTGACCAATCGTGCAGCCTGTAGCAATTGATTACAAACATGGAGTATTAATAATTTCAATAAACAAACGGAATAGATAAACTTGGGAGTTATTACCAGTCGAACATTTCATTATCTGGCAAGACGTTTTCACCACGGACTGAGACTAGCAGCACTGTGGCACTACAGAGCGGTAACAGCTGTGTTTGAAAAAACTATTGTAACTTTGGAGAGAAATAATTCCAATTGAATTCTTTGTTGGATTTGCTGACATAAAGAGTAATACACCACAGCACATTATGATGGTAAAGATGGTAAAATGTCGGCTTAGTTAAGCAAACTTATGGAGAACTTGACACCACATTGTACAACTGACATTGGTCAGTGCAGGAGAACTGGACACCACAATTTACAGCTGACATTGGTCTGTGCTGGAGAACTGGACACCACATTGTAGAGAGCTGCTTGAGTGGAACATTACCAGTGACAACAACTAACCTATTCCACAAGATCACTGTAAGTTAATGAATGAAAGAATTATTATTCAATGTAGGTATAACTACTCCACAGTTGCTTCTACAACTCCATGGCAGACTCTTTAGTGTAATAATATCATACAGAAAATGCAATCTATTTAATTCACAAGTGGATAAACCAATTTGAGGACTTGACTTGGAAACATGAGATCTGTATCATTCAGCATATTTGCCAGCTGCTGCTCATGGTGAGAATAAGAGAACTACCATCTCCAGCTCTTCTCCATCCCTCAGAACTCGTCTTACAACAAGTTATACAATATGTGGATTGTGCACATCAAGCTAACAAAAAATCAATTTAGGTATTGACTTCTACAAAATATTCATAATAAACTAATAAAAGCACCTTTCCCTTTAAAGAAATTGTTCTGCAACAATGGAACATTCCAAACAGTTTACTTTTGACATTAATTAAAAGTTTTTATAGTTTGTTCTCTGTTTTTCCATTGTCTATGTTATTCCTACTGATGGCCTCACTTTTTCACATTGGAGCAACAGCCTGAAAATAGAGAGCTATACCACCACTGTCCACTGATCAAGACTCAAGTGTTACACAAAGTGTGAGAAAGTCTACAAGTCCTCAAAATCCTGCAACCAATCTCGAGTCAGTGGTGACAATAACACAGACATGAAATTCAATATTAAGAATTTGACTCAGCTGTAGAAGGGAGATCAACAATATCGCTACAAAATGCTGATAAAGATTCATTGACGGAGTCTGAAACTTCAACCTCAGACATAACATAGTCCACAGACAACACCCTGTGGCGGCGTTTGTAGATTCTGTCCCGTTCTCTTTCTTTTGCACGCTGGTTAGGGTTTGTTTCTCGCACCACTCTCCGCCGTGCCCGATCACGCTGGCGTTCATGTTCTCTGTACAAGGGATCCAGTCTGCGCAGCTTCATTCTTTGTTTTGCTGCTTCTTTTTCCTTCAACCTGCATCAAATAATAAATACTGCAAAATATACACCAATACAGAATGTACTACTTCAAATAGTTGCCATTTTAAATAACTCATTGACTTTCATCAAGTATCTTTTATACTTTTATTGAACTCTTCAGGGAGGGTAAAGATGCACCCATTTCCTCCAATAACTTATTTCAGTTCTAACAACACAAATAACCTGTAATCTGGATCTTTTCTCAGCAGTCTCTTCTTCTCTCTGTCCCGCATTCTCTTGTTGAAACTCCTCAGGGCTAACTCTTGTTCCCGGGGGGTGAGGGGCAGACTGCCGTCACCCAGGGGCACCAAGGCCACAAACGATTCCTGTGAGGTGTTCAAGTCATTATCACTGGAGTCTTCAACTCTGAAATTATCAAATAACTATCTATGTCATCTACAGTATTCCAAGAAACATTGTAATAACTAAATAATAGGTTTACAATCTGAAAGAGTTGTCATGTACCAGAAAACATAAACACCCTCCTAAGTATAACTCTTGGCAAAACTGGTTCCAAGCCAACATTAATTGGACTAAATGAATTAAAAGTCATTACAAAATCAGTGAATAACAAGATAATTATACAATAAAATTTTAGTCGATAATTATTTCAATCGAATTAAAAAACAGTTTACATTATCATATAAGTCTCCTGCTGACATCTTTAGTCTGTGATAATGATTTCCACACACACCCACCCTGGCATTTTGACAACATCTGTCGTCTCCCACAGCTGACTGCCCCCAGACTGCACATCTATAATAGTACCAATTGCATCTAAAGTTGCCAGCCCACCGCTGCATCCCCCCTGTGACACCGACGCCCTCTGGAGATCAGCCAGACCTTGGAAAGTTGTCGTAACCTCTGTCTCCGCAGCAACGGAGCCCAGGAGTTCTGTATCATTGAAGTGGTTCTCTATGACAACTGCCTGGTGAGGAGGAGAACCTGCTGCCTCTGTAGGAACACAGGGAATAGTTTTCATTCATCACTCATAAAATTCGTATAAAATGTGTCAGTGGATCATTTTTTCATAAGAAATGCAAAGTTGAAAATTACAAAAGGGCCCAAATCCATAAAATACCAGGCTTATGCAAAACTGTCAATTACAACACAGGTACAATCACATTAATTCTTTTAACTGCCCTTATTTAAAAACATTTTGGGTAGGTGCTGTTAGGATATCAAGTGCTGAACAAGGATTCTTATATTTCATTATAAAAATCAATATAATCTGTGATCAAATAGTCTAAATAGTGTCTAAATAGTCTACTTACTACTGGTAGCCAGTTCCACGTGTAGTCCACTCTCTTGTAAGCTATTCAGAATGTCTAAATTATCTACTGTTACCACATATACAGTCTTTTCAAGCTCATTTCCCATTGAGATGCTTCTATTTAACCGACTGCTAGAATTTACAGCCTGTTGCAGTGGAGACACAGTTTCAATGGTATTAAATGGACTGGGTTTGGGTTGAATCTTTCTTGGCGTTGACTTTCTAGGGACTTTCCCTGTCAGACCAATGATTGAGCACATGCTTGGCTCATTTGTGTTACTGGAGGGTGGATGGACATCAGAAGATGCCAAACTAGTCTGCTGGTTATCAGTGGTGGAGTTCATATCCGAGGATAATAGACTCTGCTGACTGATGTTATCCCCAGAAAGGCAGATGCTTGCATTCATTGCACTGTGTATTTTCCCAGCTAGAATATCTGCCTGCAGGGAAGGTTGTGTTGATGGGGAGGGCAAACTTGATAATACTTTACGATTTTCCAAGTTTTCAAGCAACTCCTCTTCACTGATGTTGCTACTAAGGCTGGAAGGCAAGTCCAAGGTGGTTGTGATGACCCCTATGGAGGTCATATCCAGCGCCTGCTCGCTATCCTCTCCTTGCAGGCAATCTAAACTACTTTCGTTTGAGTTTTCATCCTCATTTGCCATGGCGCAGCTAAGTGGCACTACTTCACATCTGCTTCTGAAAATAGGAGGTAAAAAAATGCATGTGTCACGCTCATGAATGTACGTTGCCAAAAAAGTATGTCTCATATGCCCAATCTTTTGATAACTGTAAAATAAAACCTGGTCATTTGGATCTGGCAATTGAGGCAGACAAGTCGCAGTGGTGTCTCACTGAATGTTTTTCAACAGACCCTTTCTCTAACCTCTAACAATGAATGAAGAAAATCATTTGAGTCTACCATAAGCAACACATTCTAAGAAAAGCTACTAATGCACTGAAAATCCCCAACTCCCAAAGTCCTCATGATCACCAAGAGTATCTGAGAGACAAACCGCGACTTCACCCCATCCTTACCTCTCCTACCTCACATCTCTCCCTGAGCACCTATACCGCAGTTTCGAGTTCCTCGCTCAATGATTGGACAGAAAAGTTCGTCTGACCTTCATACGGGCATTTCCTTAAGAAGTTCAAGATGGCGACCCGCATGCAGGATCGAGCCCATTCTGCAGAGTCGGAGGATGAAGAGGCGTTTGTTTACATCTTTGACCGCAGAAAAGGCGATGCACCCGAACAAAAAATCCCCACAGGGGGTCTTTTCAATTTCGAGAATTTTCACTCCAAGCTTGCTGAGGTATGCATGCAGTTGGTTCTGAATGTTTTGTTTTTATTTTAAACCGCAATCGCATGCAATGCAGAGTTTGTGTTTACAGTAGAAATCTTCCATTGCATTGCATTTGCATTCCTGATTTTCGTATATAGTGTAAACGATCGAAGATCACCACGTAGCCTAGCATGCATTAACACGAATATTGCACGGGCCTATAGCCATTAACCTCTCGTCTGTTTCAAGCCCAGCTTGTTTCTTTATTATTGTAGCACTTTGATCTGGACGAAGGCGAGAATTACGTGATTACTACCACCAATAGGGAGCCCATCTTTGATGATGATACGTGGGGTAAGCCATGGGGTTATTAGATGGATTTTATTAAAGATGAAATAAGCAACATAAGCAACGAAAGTATTTATATCAAATAGATTTGTTTATATTCGTACCCCACCTTTGTAGTCAAACTAGACTGGGTTTGCTGTGCTGCAGTAAGTTGCAGTCTTAGTATAGATTCTTCATCTCTGTTGACTAGTTCTGATTACTTTGATGTCAGATCTTGTGGACAATGGAGAGACATTGTACCTGCTGCGAGCAGTGGACCAAGATCTTCCAGCCCAGGCCCAGGAGAGAGTGAACTATCTGCCTCATTATGACACTATAGTCAAGGGAGGGATGTATGAGTACTACGCATCTGAAGGACAGAACCCATTACGTAAGTGACAGTACATATAGAGACTACCCATCATAGCCCAGACCTCTGTATAGAGGTGATGGATGTGAGGATGGTTCACTAGGCTTCTGACAGCTTGTTATCTCCTTTTTTGTGAAAGACAAATCATTTTGTTTTGGTGAAAAGGGATAAGGATGCATGCTTCCTGGATCTGCCTAGAGTGCCACAGTTTGTTACACTAGGAACAGTCACTACTACTGCAGTTTAGGTAGTTTGACTTTTGAGAACCTGAAACCAACATTTTCCACATGAAGTGACTGCATACTTATGCATTATTTTGAATGAAGTCATAAGAAAATTTTGATTGAAATATGAAGCTAAATATTTTCACAGGTGTCTTCCTTTTTCTTTCAAGAGTATAATATGTTTTGAAGATATATTTGTTTTGGTCTACTTGTATGTGTATTCCCAAGTACTTGGTATGGTGTGCATTTGTGATATATATATATACATTTCTCTATTTAGCCTATGCATTTGCTGAACTAATAGACAATGCTCTGGCTGCCACAGCTAACAATGTGGGCTCAAGGCAGATAGAAATAAGACTGGTAAGTTGAACAGTATTGGACAACACAGTACACAGCTTGGACTGGCATAGCAATTATCATAGAGTATATTTGCAAGTAAGAAGTATTATCATATAAAAATTGTGGGTTCTTGCAATTTTTCTGAAATGATAATCGTTTTCCTGTACATCTGGATGCTGTGAGACATGATTTCAATACAAGAGGAAATGTGGCTGTGCATTCTTACATGGACATGTAAACAAACCTACACAAAGAACCAGCAAAGTTGAACTGATTTCTCTTCCAGCATTTTGATGATGTGACCCCGTCTAAAAGCGTGGTTCTGGTGGTGGACAATGGGAAGGGGATGTCTTCCAGACAGCTAAATAACTGGGCTATTTATAGGCTTTCCAAATTTATTAGAAAAGACCAAAGAGGAAAACTTGTGTAAGTAGCCAAGGATAATTAATTGAGTATTAACACTTGATTGTATGTGACATTCTTAAAGCAAGTGCAACAGGCTCATTCCACTGCAGATGACACATCAGACATTTTCAGTTACTGTAGAAATCAATTTATCTGCACAATGGTAAAACTTATGATTGAGATTACAATGCCATGTAGTGATCATATGTCTGACAAGATCACAGTACAATGTGGGTATATTTATATAAATGGCATTTTACATAACTCATTTATGCCTTTAGCCTCCATTGCATTCTTAATATCATAAGCAAAGGATGAGTCTTCCTCCCTCGTTGGAAGTCTAGAAGTTCATCCTTCATGATGTGTGAGCCTGCTACAGTATGACTGGGACAGACTGCATTTTACAGCTAACAAAGTTATGTTGCTCACTGACTGATTTGAACAGGTTTGAACTAGCTACTGTACAGTTTCTATATCAGATGATGGTCTGAGAAGATGTGTTAGTCTGTGTTTGAACTAGCTACTGTACAGTTTCTATATCAGATGATGGTCTGAGAAGATGTGTTAGTCTGTGTTTGTTTCTACCTGCAGTCCAGGGGAGGAGATTGAACCCAGCAGTGTTGACACACCACAGGTTCCGAGATCTCTCAACTCTGATATCTCTTACTTCGGTGTGGGAGGAAAACAGGCCATATTCTTTATTGGGTCATCAACACGGGTAAGGTATAGCTACAACACCAGTCTTAAAGCTGTTTGTGAAATATTAGAGAGAGTTATTGAACCACGGTTAAATCATGTTATTCCTCATATTTTGGTACTAAATATTTTCTAGAGGGCCACTGACCAGTTATTTACTTTATGATAAGTTAAGGTTATGGTAAATATGTACCAGTTTCATATTTTTTGCTTATATCTAAATTGTTGCAATATTTAGTGTGTGCAGTGTGCAGTTATTTCACTGTGCAGCAGACCATCTCTCACTTACAGCCTTCAGTAATCAGTTGCCAGTTTGTGATTTATTTATATTTAACTGGAAAAAACCCTTTCAAAATGTAAAGTATTGTTGAAGATGCTGATGTTGTATTTCAACATTTAACCTTGACAGATGATCACAAAGCCAAGAGAGTCCAAAGATGTCCATGAGCTGACTATATCTAAGGAGGAGTTTGAGAGGAAAGAAAAGAACAAAGAGGCCATATACAGTGGCTACATAAGGAATAGAAAGGTAAAATATACAGTAACTACAAAAGTAATAGAAAGGTAACATATACAGTGGCTATATAAGGAATAGAAAGGTAACATATACACAAAACTATATGTACACATGCTATGTAACGAACAGAAACATATCTAGATATGGACATTGTGTATTCCTTTTTTATCTTGTAAAAGAATACCAAAAACATTTAGGATTTTGTATGAAGTGTTGAAAAATATGGAATTCTATGTGTGAGAGAGGATTTTGTTCCTTGTAAGCAGTCTTTTTGTGCAGGTCAAAGTGTGTCTGCCATTCACTTGGTGGAGCAGGAGAAGACAGACCTGCGCCACTGGACTGAGAAGTAAGAGACATAAGACATTAACACGCTGCATATCATTATGTGGGATCATTTAAAATGTGATCAGTTGTTGTTGTTTGTTTAATTGTCCTGTTATTCTGTATATAGTAATGTCACTCTGTCATTGTCAGCCTGGTGATGTGAGCCACATCCCTGCGGAGGAGGAGACAATACGACAGCTGATAGAGGAGGAGCTGGGCAAGACCAGCTTCACCGCCGTGGCCATCCAGGGCATCAACCCACAGCACATACCATATCTCAAAGGGAATCTCACACAGTGGACAAGGCAGCTAGCGTAAGGTTCAGATGACCACAAGTGTGGATCAGAGAGTTTGACAGGCAAAGCAGGATATTAGTAATCTAGGCTTCCTGCACATGTAGCAAGGCAAAGCATATGGATGAACAAATGAGCCAGATCAGAATTAACAGAGTTGTCTTCAAGAAAACAAACAAAGGCTTTCTGTTGAAAGTTGCTTACAACAGGTGTATCAAGTATATGATAATGGCACTTACACATTTTGAAAAGCACTTATTCTGAACACATCTTTTCTTTTTCTAAGATTTGTGAATTTCAGTACTGACGAAACACTGACAGACATGTACCTGCCTCACAGTGTATCTGGATCAGGTTCAGGAAAGAAACTTTGTTGTGTGAAAAATTTTTAATGATGTTTTAACAGATTTGTTGATATAACTGTCAACTGTTCTGTCTTCCTTTCAGGCACATTTACCACTATTATATTCATGGTCCCAATGGCAATCAGAAACATGGTGACAGTAAAACCAGAGCTCCAAGCCCCTTTATGAATATAGATATTCAGGTATGTCTGAGATAGATCTCTTCTATTGAGCTCAGAAACTGTTCAGTGGTAGCAATCTGCTAAGTCCAATAATGTAGATTATGAAAGATTGCTAATCTCTAACATAAACTCCTAGTATAATGCTGTGATGATGTTGTAACTGTGGTGTGTCACCCACAGGTCAAAGTGTACACCAAAGGCAACAGTGTTCCCAAACAGATTGACTTACGTGACATAGAGGATGACATGCAGACCCTGTTTATCCGCACAGCAGCCAGTACTTTTGAGTTCAAGGCCAGTGTGGAGGGGATGGGCCGCGTGGAGGGTGTGATGAGATACCACCCATTTCTCTATGAGAGGGAGACCTACCCACCAGATGTTAATATGACATTTTGTAAGTTTGTGTTTGTTGGTTTGTTTTTAAACTAAATATGCTATACTGAAAGGTTAAGAAAAGGTGTGGCGTTATCTAGGATGAAGTGGTGTGATGGCAGTGCTCCATTTCACAACATCTACACTTGGCCAACCTAAAAAAAATGTACCTTGCCAATAAAACCCTATTAAAAACAAATAAGAGACATCAAAGGAAGTGAACACTCTTATCCCATGTGTCAGAAAATTATCCAAACATGCATGAATATGAAAGGAGTGCTTTGAATTTTTGGGATTCTAAAATGAGTCTAGTATAAGGTAGAACCAAAACCTGAGAAATAAGTTGCAACAATGATGTTTTCTTTTTAAATATGTCTTTATGGGACCAGCTATTAAAGCAGTTTGCTGTTCTGTTTTCCGACATTCATTTTATTTTTCATATTGTTTTAACTGTTATTTTGAATATTTTGTCTCTGATGCGAGATGGAAAGGTTCAAATGTGGTGTTTATCTAATTCCAGTTGAGGCAGACATAGAAGATGAGCATGATTACGCCATTGATATTCGTCCTGCCAGAGGCAAGAGGCCCATCTTTGAATGTTACTGGAATGGCAGGCTGATACCTTATACCACAGTGGAAGAGTGAGTAGTGCTAGTGATGTCATGTGTGCTTACTATGGGTATGATGTATCCATGTACATGACATGGGTGCTTACTATGGGTATGATGTATCCATGTACATGACATGGGGAAACTATTTCATCATTTTGCCACTTAAAAATATAATGCTATAATGATACTGTATGATCAGTCCTAAGTTATGAATGTCCAAGTTGATCTGGACTTGGCATCATCTTCAGAGTCATGGTGCTGGCTGCTTGATATTTGAACATCTTTTCTTTACTTCAGATTTGAATGGTGCAGTGCCCCTAAGAAGAGCAAGCAGATCTATGTTCCCACTGAGTGCTACAATAGGTAGGTCACTGTCAGTTCAATCTTTAACAGAGATTTTAAACACTTTTCTAAAACTTACCAGAGATTGGTCCTCAGTACATTATGAATATATATGATTTGGTTTTCATTTTCAGACATTATCTTATTTCTCATGATTTAGTTCTCCTTTTGTTTCTGTTTTTCTAATCACAGCAGTGTTAGATGGTATCTTTTCTCTTGACCTAGGGTGTCTGGGGTCTTGTTTACTAATGATCAGTTTCAAGTCAGTACAAACAAACTGACCTTCCTGGACTTGGAGATGAAGTTGAGGGACAAGAACACTGCCTTCAGTAGGATCAGTGGGACCCAAGTAAGTTACAGGGGCAGTTTCTAACACTACCTTCTTTTAACAGTTATAGCTGTATTTGGTTCTGTTTAACTTTAATATTGTGTATCACCTTCTTAGAGAGATGATGCTAGAGTGGGAGGAGGGGAAGGATGTCAGTGGAATACCTTGGAGATAAAGTGGAAGGATGTCAGTGGAATACCTTGGAGATAAAGGAGATGAAATTTGCTGGTTTTTGCTTTTTTCGAGACTGGTAAAAAAAATCCTCACATGTGATTTGAAAAGGTATAATGGTATTATGTGTTTGCTAAAAATGTGGTCGTAATTTCAATATCATAAAAACATCTTCATATTGCTGTTAATGTTATTTAACCCAGGAAAAAAGAACCCAGATAGAGAAAGACTTCTTTGCCTGGCTGAAAGAGTGCCATGAGCAGTGTGACAAGCAGGTCCGGTTCAGTGGGTTCAAAGGGGTGGTCACGCGGCTAGACCTGCCCAAGAACAAACAGTACCCCTGGTCAGAGTTCACAGAGATAGAATGGGATGGAAAACTATTTCAAGTTGGGCAGCTGGTAAGTATACAGCTGATGCTTGTTTGTGTCTTTATTGGAATGATATTTCCTGTTAATCATAATTATACATTTATGAAGTAGTGAGTATTGTATTGCTATCACCCTTCCATTGTTCATTGTGTTCAATATAATAGTTTTCTTCTGCATTGTCACCATCTTTGTCATCTTCCTGACCCTGTTGCCAGGTGAAAGTGGTGAAGACAGTACCCATAGTGTATGGAGCAGTGAACAGGTTTCTTCTACATGGAGAATATGATGGAGAGGTGTATGCCACTGGTGGGGATGTGGAGATTGTTCAGGTACAGAGCTAATATTGCAGCAGTTTACAGCAGTTGTCAAGTATTCATTGTCAAATTTTCACCAAAATTAAAATGAACTTTATATAGCATAGTCACCCATTAGCTGTAGGCACCATTTTTTTCAATATTTGATCTCAAAATTATTACAAATATAGTGATATAGTTAAAGAAAAGCTGTATGGACTTCTGAACAGTACTGTCCATTTCAAAGTTTTTAAGATGAAGTCTTTTTCAGATAAAATGTAAACATTTTAAAAAAGAAAGTTACCCTATGTTTCTCCTTCAGTGCAATGGCTACTCTACTGTGTGGGTCTTGATTTCATGATTGGTTTTCATTGGTGATTTATTTATTTTTTGTTTCAGGAACCCAGAAGTTTATACGATGAAGTGAAGATCTTCCCACTGGTCAAGCTGGACCGCACAGCCTGGTCTGCCCTGATCACCAAGTATATAGAAGATGAAGAGGCCAAGTATGTGTTCTGTCTGAGTGTGATAATTGGACGCAATATCAGCAGACTTAAGGTTAAAGTATTCTGTGTAAAGACAATTACACTAAATACCAAACTTTGTGGGCCCCCCTGCCATGTTATTTATATCTCTGTATGTCCACAGTTGCAAGTATTGTAAAGCGTGTGTAAGCTCTCTCATAAAGTAGCCAGTGCTGTACATGTACTCTCTGTTGATATTGCAGGCTGCCCAGTGAACTGCTGGTGTCATGGCCAGAGGGAGATGAGGTGAAAGATGGAGATAAAAGACCAGCTGGAAAGACACTAGGTAATTAGTACTACTAATGTGGCTGTCCAATTGATAATGTTAGTTATAAGTATCTAGCTGCAAGTTTGATGTTCACCCAGCCTACCAGAAATTTTGGATAAGTTTTCACAGATATTGTAAAAACATTGCTTTCCGTAATATTAATATTGATATATCTGTTGTGTTGAAATGTGGAAGTTAAGATGTAGTAAGGTATGACAGCTGCTGTGTAGAGATGTAGAAATAAATGTTTTTCTGTTATAATAACAGCAGAGAAGTCAACATTGACATGATAAGCATGATTTCATCACTTAGTGGTGTTCAAAGAAAGCTCAGCCTCTTATAAACCTTCAGTCAGTTGTGTCAGTGCAGCCAGTGTTTTTCTTCCTAGGGGACATCAAGGTGGAGATCGCCAACAAGAGAGGAGAGCTGATCAGTAAACTTCCAGGATCATCTGCAAAACGGCTGCTCATGGAACTGAAGATTGTATGGCATGGTATGAAATCTAAGCTAGGCAGCCAGTGAGATTGTATGGCATGGTA